TTCATTCTGGCTGACACACCAGCTTCATGTTATCTCTGAATCAAAGCCTGAGGCAAGACTCAGCCCCCTACTTGGAGAACTAGAGATGAATCCCAAGGCTTCAAAGATGTTTCAAAAAGTTCATGGGAAATGGAATTAAAGGATATTTTGGTGCAAAAAGGAATTTAAAATCAACTTTGTGAAGATCTTTTGTAGTGCCTATCAAGTTGCTTGTATCTCTACATAGGTCCATGCTTAAATGGACACAGTCCTGTGGGTATGTTCCTATAGACACATAATACACACATTTCGAATGCAAACCCATATACGAATGCAAAATATACGTTCAACAAAGGTATCTATTGATATTTATTGGAGGAAATCTTGAAGAAGTGATTTCAAAGCCTTTAAACTTAGGTAATGACATAAAAGGTTCAACTCTGCATTACTCAGAGTGCTGGCTCCTTAGGCATGTGCTGGATACACTTGAGAACACGCAAATGAAACAGAAACTGCAGCCACGGCCTTGCTCAAGTTCATAGTCAGTGGAGCAGACAAAAGAGCAAGCATGAAATATCAGACAGTGCAATAACCTAGCACACCAGGAATTGCACTAATGGCACTTTGACACGAAAGTTCAGCAGCAGGCTTCCAAGAGGACATGGAATCCTACAACACGGCCATGGGAGAAGAAAACATTAGAGCGGTTGCAGAGAAAGGCTGCTGTGATGAAATTTGAAAAAAAAAAAAAATCATTCGTCCTTTCAGGAGTTAAAAACAATTTTGATCAATTCTTCACAAAATCTTCCAAACAACAGAACAGGAAAGAATACCATGAAATGTATTTCTCCCATGAAGCCAGAAATAGGAACCAAAGGCACTCAGGAACAGAGACACCGAAATCCTAAACAAACCAGCATAAACCCAGTAACACGGATAATGGCTTTATACCACAAACAAGCAGGATTATTCCAGAAAAGCAAGGTTAGCTCGGCATCCAAAATCGCTTAATGGAATACAATATGACAATAAAATATACCCAACGATAATCTCAAAAGATACATACATTTTAAAAATTAAATTCCCCTTCAGAATAAAAGCACTCAAAACAAACGAAGAGTAGAAGTAGAGTTCCTAAAAATGAAAAACACATCTACACTTCGACTTCACGTGGTTGACCAGGATGAAGTGCTGGCTTCTAGCTTTAGTCTGGCCCAGCAGCACCTGGAAAGGGAAGGAAAGTTCTCTCTCTCTCTCTCTCTCTCTCTCTCCATCATTCTGCCTTTCAAATGAACATTTTTTTTAAAGAGAAGAGAAAATGTATTGTACATTTGTTTTCAATGAAGGGGCCAAGATCATTCCATGCTGAAAGAATCATCGTTTCAATAAAAGGTGCCAGGATCAACGTAGATCTACACACGTTTTGACCCAAGGAACTGGAAATGATCCAAGGGAACTGGCTCGTTCCCTCATCCCATATACAAATCTAACTAAAAGTGGACTATACAAAGAGCTGAAAGTATCAAACTCCTAGATAAAAAAACATGAGTTCAAGGCCTCAGCCTTAGGCAATGGTTTCTCAAACACAACAGCAAAAACAAGAGAAAAAAAATTGCTAAACCGAATTTCATCCAAACTAAGACTTGGTGCAAAGAATACCACTAGTAGTCCTATAAAATGGGAAAGACACTTGGAAATCAAAGTTCTGATAAAAATTTAATATCCAGAATGTATGAAGAACGCTTACGTTCAACGACAAAAGAGCAAACAATCTAATCAAGAACTGGGCACAGGACTTCAATCAGCGTTCTCCAAAGATACATCAATACTCAACAAGCGCGTGAAGAGATGGACACATCATCCTGTATTGGGGATGCAAGCCAGAACCAAGGGAGGGACCGGGTCACACACAGAGACAAGGCCGGAACTAACAGGCAGTGAAATGAAGCTGCTGACAGCTGGGAGGAAGAGAGAGTGCGGAATTGCCCAGAGGGTACACAGTTCAAATTAAGCAAGATGTAAATTTGTGGAAACTGGCAGCAAAACTATGTGACTATACATACTACTCACTGTAAATTTTGAGTTAAATGGCTTGTCTTATCACTGTAAATGCACACTGATGTGCTTTGAGAAACCAGCAGCCCTGCAGTGCTCACACGCTGCTGGCAGGAATATAAAAAGGTACAGGCACTCTGGACAAGAACCTGGCAGTTCCTCCAAAGGTTATATACAGAACTACCACATGGCCCCAGGGAGCCATTCATAGGTACATGTAGCCACAGGAAATGAAAATGTCCACACCAAAAGCAGTACAAGTATTCAGGGTAGCATTAGCCATCATAGCTAAAAAGTATAAAACACCCAAGTGTTCATCAACTGATAAGTGAATAAATACAATGCAACTTACACCTCATAAGTAGTGCAACTCATCAATAAGAATTAAATGCAACATTGATTCATGTCGGGCCCAATGCGGTGGCCTAGCAGCTAAAGTCCTCTTCTTCAATGCACTGGGATCCCATATGGGTACAGTCGGTATTAATCCTGGCGGTCCCGCTTCCCACCCAGCTCCCTGCTTGTGATCTGGGAAGGCAGCTGAGGACTGCCCAAAGCCTTGGGACCCTGCACCCGCGTGGGAGACCCAGAAGAGCTCCTGACTCCAAGCTTTGGATCGGCACAGCTCCAGCAATTGTGGTCACTTGGGGAGTGAATCATCGGACGGAAGATCTTCCTCTCTGTCTCTCCTCCTCTCTGTATATCTGACCTTGCAATAAAAACAAATAAATCTTTTTTTAAAAGTTGATTCATGCCACAACATGGCTCAACCTTGAAACACTGAGACAAGTGAAAAAAGGGATTTGATTGCTAATGAGTTTAGAATTGCTTTTGGGAGCCGATGAAAATGTCTTAAAATGGACTCTGTTGGATCCAGCAGGGTAGCTCAGTGGCTAAAGTCCTCGCCTTGCATGCACAAGGATCCCATATGGGCGCCGGTTGCAATCCTGGCTACCCCGCTTCCCATCCAGCTCCCTGTTTGTGGCCTGGGAAAGCAACAGAGGACAGCCTTGGATCCTGCACCTGTGTGGGAGATCCGAAAGAAGCTCCTGGCTTCAGCTCATCTCAGCTCTGGCCATTGCAGCCACTTGGGGAGTAAATCATCAGACAGAAGATCTTCCTCTCAGTCTCTCCTCCTCTCTGTATATCTGACTTTGTGATAAACACATCTTTTTAACATTCTTCAAGAGCACGCTCAGGAGTGGGAGGCGATGACCTTGGGGCTGAATTTGATAGTTTCTAATACCATCCATGTCCCTAAACCATCTGAAGTATTTTACTTTATTTTATATGAAATGTAGAGTTACAGACAAAAAGAGAGGGAGTAAGAAAGAGAGTTTTCCAGGTCATAGTTCATTTTCCAAATGTTGCAGTGGCTGGTGGGGATGGGTCAGGCCAAAGCCAGAAGGCCAAAGCTCTTTGGGGTCTAGCCCATACGTGGCAGGGGCCCAAGTACTTGGACCATCTTCTGCTGCCTTTGCAGGCGTTTTAGCAGGCGTTTTAGCAAGGGTGTGGATCAGAAGCGTAGTAGTCGGGTCTTGAACTGTCACTCCTATGGGATGCCAGCATTATACACGGTGCCAACTTGCTTCACCAGGACACCAGCCCTTTAGGTTGAAATATTAACTTACAAGGTAATGATATTCAAATGTGAGGTTTTGGGGAAGTGCCTATGTCATGCGGGAGAGCTTTTATATTGAGACTAATGTTCCGAACACACACAGACAGACAGAGAGAGAAAGAGAGAGAGAGAGAGAGAGAGAGAGAGAGAGAGAGAGAGCTCTTAGATGGGCCACCATCTAAGGGCCACGTGAAGGCACCATCTGTGAATCAGGAAGCCAGTGCCCACCTGACACTGACCCAGCCAGAACCTTGATCTTGGACTATCAATCCTCCAGAAGTGTGAGAAATAATTTTCTGCTGTTTAAACCACACAATCTATGATATTTTGCTATAGCAACTTAAAGCAACTGACAGAATTCACGCTTCCGTCTATCCAAAGACTCTTTATTATTATTATTATTGGTTTATTTTTATTGAAAGTCAGATAGAGAGAGGAGTAAAGACAGGAAGGTCTGTCCATTGATTCACTACTCCCCAAGTGGCCACAATGGCCCAGGCCACAAGCAGGGAGCTAGATGGGAAGTGGAGCAGCTGGGACATGAACTGGCACCCATACGGGATCCCGGCATGTTCAAGATGATAACTTTAGTCGCTAGGCTACCACACCGGACCCTAACCAGAGACTCTTACAAAGCTGGAGATACTTTCTAAGATTTAACAGACTTCACTTAAAAGTTGAAACAACCTGTATTCTCTTGGCAAAATGCAGAAAGCTTGGGAATGCGGGGCCACCTTCCTCTACAGGTGCCAGAGGTGGAAACTCTGCAGCAAGACTGTAAGGCTCCCTTATCCGAATGACCCCAAGAGCCACTGGCAATTGCAGGAGCCAGGCTATCAGGCAAGGGAGAGACAGATGAACAGGTCCCATCTCACAACCTGCAGGGGCTCTCAGAGCAACAGGAGCTAAAGAAAACCCCACAGAACAGGCAATTTCAGTAACCAGGAGCAGGACTCATGTTATTGTGTCGATAAGCAAGGCTCAGAGAAGTTCCCTGCGTCCAGCACCGTGGAGCAGCAGGGGAAGCCGAAGACGGTGACACCAGCACCCATTATGGGCACCGGTTCGCATCCCAGCTGCTCCACTTCCTTCCCAGTTCCCTGCTAATGACCTGGAAAAGCAGTGGAGGATGGCTCAAGTGTTTGGGACCTGGCACCCATGTGGAACACCCGGAGGAAGCTCCTGGGTCCTGGCTTGGTGTGACTAGCACAGGTTGTTGGAGTCATCTGGAAAGTGAACCAGCAGTCGTAAGATATCTCTCTCTCCCTCTTTCTCTCTCTGTAACTCTGACATTTAAATGAATAAGTAGATAAATATTTTTTTTAAAAAAATTTATCTGACTTACCTAAGACAAAATCACACCACTCACTCTATCAGAAACCTGTACTATGGAAGTACCTAACTACTTCTATTTATCTCCGAAGAACGTATTGCCGCCGTTGAAAATAAATGAAATCAGAAGAATAAAACAGTGTTTGGAGGATAAAAGAATCACAAAGAAGTTGAAAAGGTAGCACAATTTTCAACTTGATTTTACACTCGGGTAGAAGGATGAGGCTTGTTGATAAAATGGTCCATATTGGGGCAGGCACGGTGGCACAGCAGGTCAAGCTGCAGCTTGAGCGGCCTGCATCCCTTCTGAGTGCTGCCTTGAGTCCTGGCTACTCTGTGCTTCCAACCCACCTTCCAGCTGATGTGTCTGGAAAGGCGGCAGAAGATGGCCGGGGTGTTTGGGCTCCTGCCATCCCTGTGGGCGAGTCCTAAGGATGGGACTCAAGCTCTGAATGGAGTCCCAAGCTCTGGGCTTCCTGCCCTGCTTGGCCCAACCTCAGCCCTGGTGCACATCTGGGGGTAAATCAGCAGATACAAGAGCTCACTGCCTCTCACTCTCTGCCACTTTGGCTTTCAAATAAAATAAGTCTTTAAAAAATATATTTTCAAATTCACATTTGTTATCTATTTACAACTAACAGTCTACCAACCAATCATATTATTATGTATTTAGATTTGGGGGTGGGGCGTTTTTGGAGAATTGCCAAGCCCCACTTTCACAGAAAACACAGCAGATTCAATTCAACAGCCCGAGATGAAAGAACGAAGACCGAGGGTCATTTCAGGATTCAAGCCAGGACCATGTGTACTCAATCTGTCCTTGCACTTGCTGCCCTCATTAATCCAAAGGTCCAGCTTTCCGAGAAAATAACATGTTTTCGTGATCTGAAAAACTGATTGGAAAGGGAAATGATGATGTCACGGGAAACAGGAGAGCAAATACCATGGTTTATATAGCAGCATTTGCTGACTTCTGTACATGTCACCTGCGAAGTAACAGGCTGAGGTCTGAACCGCCCTTCCAGAGCTGGACCTGGTAAAACAGGTTGAACTCAACAGTGTGTTTACAAAACGACATGAGGTAACTTCAGTGTCGATTCCAGATCTGACCTAGACAGTCCTCAACCAAGCTGTGTCATTGAGAAGACAGGGTCAGCCAACAGGCCCTGACACTCAACGGCCCCTCTACCCTATAAGAGCAGAAGCACAGCCTCTTTAAGGGCCGCTGGATCACACGGAACAGACAATATCCTAGGCCACAGGACAGATGTACTGTCCCAATGTGCATGGAAGCTTCCGTTACCTAGCCATTAGGAAATGGATGGAAAGCCTCAGAAATGTAGGCTCAGCCACTCTCTTGACAACAGACTTTAGAAACAAGTCCACAGGGCTGAGCAAACCCAGATTCCCTGCACCTGCTTCTGTGGCTGGCGTGCCCGGGATGCCATGATTTGAATTTACACTCACTCTGTAACCTAAGACATGGAGCAGTTTCCCTGCAAGGTTTTTCAAGTACCACTTTTCTTCTTTTTTAAAAGAAATTACTTACTTAAATTTATCTGAAAGGCAGAGAGATGCTCCCCAAATGTCCATGACAACTGGGCCTAGCAAAGCCAAAGGAAGGAACTGAAGTTTCGCCTGCGTCTCCCACGTGAGCGGCCGGGACCTAAACACTTGGGCCAACACCTGCCACCACGCAGGGTGCGCATCTGCAGGACACGGGATCCTAAGCAGAGCCAGGAGCTGAACCCAGGTACTCCACTGTGGAATCTGAGCAGCCCAAGCACCACTCACTACCAATCTCACTCAGGTAATTGAAGCTGCAGCGTCTGAAACTAAAATAATCTTCAAAGTTGAGCTGACCTATGCTTTCTCTCAATCGCTCTTTATATATTACAGATTTCTACATTTTTCTTTTTGTGGAAAAAAGAAGGATTCTTAGGTCTGGCCTCTCTGTTTGTGCTTATATCCTTGGAGACCACTGTTGCACGTGAAGTAGAGGAAACACTCAAGAAATTGTTTAGAAGAGGTGAATAAATGAGCATTTATATTAACAAGCCATTTCTCTATTCTACTCTAATTACCGGGCTAATGGCTGGATAAGTACTCAGTAAACATTCAAGTGGTGAACTCATAAACATTACTCAGTGAGAAGCAATCTACATAACCTTGAAATATTTTCCTCCTGTCCTTGTTGGCAAGTGTAGCTGTCTGACCTCTGATTAGAAGGGCAAGCTGATGCCTTCTGGACTTTTAAATTTTAAAATGATACCACAAAATGGGCTTCTTTGGTATCTTTTATTTTCAATAGCAAATATAAACTCTGATCTCTCCTTGGTTAATTGTTGCCCCAAAGCAGCAATGTAGATCTGTCGTAATCCTGTTTTTGCTAGGCAGTATGCCTTCAGATCCTCTGCCGTGCAAACTTCATCATCGCCCTTCCTCTGCAAATAAACAAAAACAAAACCAACCTTCCTCCCCTCCCCCCCTGCTTCCCGCTCTCCCCTGCTTCTGCTAACCACTATTCTACTCTCGATTTCTTTGACGTCAATTTTTAAAGATTCTCCATAGAGTGGTGGTAGCTGGAGAGGAGGGAGAGGACCTGGAATGGGTTGGCTAATAAGTACTCAATTACAGAGGGGAAATAAGACTTGAGGTACTATTGCACAGCAGGACAACTCCACAAAATGACAATGTACTACTGTGTATTTCAACAAAGCTCGAAGGACACTGAATAGTTTTGCTACGAAGAAGTGACAAAAGTTTGAGGAGACGCTTTGCTTACCCTGATTTTAGCAGTACACATTGCGGGCATCATTAATATGCACACATTAAACATCACATGGTACTCTATACATGCATAATTTTTTGTGAATCAATTAAAAATAACCCCCCCCCAAAAAAAAACCCACCACTATCAATAGCATTTCAAAAACACTCCATTGCAAGATTAGCATGGCCAACCCACAGGATTAGACAGTCCCAGGACTCTGCACCCTGCAACAGCAGAAAACACAGTGCTTTCCCGAACTTGTGGAATACACACCAAGACGATCTCCTGCGCCACAGAACACACCTCAACAAATCTTGAAAGAATGAAATCATAGACAATGTATTGATCCATCATAACAGAATGTGAACAAGAAAATCTCCAGACAACTGGAAAGTGAGACACACACTTCTAAATAATCCACAGGTCCAACAGGAAAACTAAAGGGAAGTTTACAAAATGCATTTAACTGAACAAAAATGAAATCTATCAAAACACGTGGAACATAGCTAATGCAGGGCTGTGCTGGAAATCTGTAGAACAAAATGTATATACCAGAAAAGAAGGAACCTCTCTTAGAAACCCCAGAAAAAAGAGCATGCAGAAGGAAGACACAATTAAGGGTGAAGACAGATCTACAAGAAATTGAAAGCGGAACCAAATTAAAGAACTGCTCTTTGAAAAGACTGATAAAGCTGACAAGCAGAAAACAGGTTATCAGACCCTGCAGGACCCCTCCAAAATAAGGGACTATTATCAACAGCTCTACACACATCGCTTTAACAATGTTGACACAAGGACTAGTCCAAAACAGGGGCTTAGGGCTGGTGTTGCGGTGTGGCAGGTAAAGCTGCTGCCTGCGACACCAGCATCCGAGAAGGCAAAGGTTTGAGTGCCGGCCACTCCACTTCCAATTCAGGTCCAGCTTCCCGTTAAAATGGCTTGGGAAACAGCGAAGGCTCATCCAGGTGTCTGGGCTCCTGCCACCCATGAGGGAGATCCAGACGAAATTCCTGGCTCCTGGCTTTGGCCTGGCCCACGTCTGGCCATGGGGGCATCTGGGCAGCGAAACGACGGACAGAGCGCCTCTTTCTGTCTCACCTCCCCCCCCCGCCCCTGTAACTCAGACTTTACAATTAGTACTCCATAAAAGCGAAAAAAGAAGATCCAGTGGAGGTTCATCAAAACGAACAACTCCTGCTCTGCAAAGGCTTTCGTCTCACACAGAGCCTGAAAATGTTTGTAAAAGAGAACATTTGCGGGCCCGGCGCGGTGGCGCAAGTGGTTAAAGGTCCTCGCCTTGCACGCCCGGGATCCCATATGGGCGCCGGTTCTAATCCCGGCAGCCCCGCTTCCCTTCCAGCTCCCTGCCTGTGGCCTGGGAAAGCAGTCGAGGACGGCCCAAAGCTTTGGGACCCTGCACCGCGTGGGAGACCCGGAAGAGGCTCCTGGCTTCGGATCGGCATAGTATCGGCCCGTTGCGCTCACTTGGGGAGTGAATCATCGGACGGAAGATCTTCCTCTCTGTCTCTCCTCTCTGTATATCCGCCTTTCCAATAAAAAATAATAAAAATAAATCTTTAAAAAAAAAAGAGAGAACATTTGCAAGCCTTGGATCTGAAAAAAACACTTGGTACCTTAAAAGATGACGCTAAATGAAAAAGTCAATTCCAAGCATTCCGATCTCATAACGTTTTTATGAAATGACAAAATCACATGGCGAATACATGAGCAGTTGTCAGGGGGTACAGGGAGAAGATGCAGGGGCAGGCGGGAAGCAGGTGTGCAATAAAAGAACAAGCAGGAGGGGTGCCTGCAGTGATGGGGACCTCTGCATCCTGAGCATGTCAAGGTCCCAGCGCATACCCCGGACCACAGCGATGCAAGATGCTTTTGGGGCAAACTGAAGAATCCCACCATGATCTCGGAATTTAAACTCTAAGATAGGATTACAAGAATTTTGAGCACTGAATTGATGTAATTGCCTCAAAGTTCACAACAGAGGCCAACATCTGCCTCTCCGTGTCAGGGGCTGACTTTTATCATCGCTGTTCCAACTAGCGTAAACCTTCTAGGCATCCCAGGTTTATCAGCCTTTGGTGCAGCCCAATACCAGGATCTAGAAGTGTAAAGCAATGTCACGGAGACCTTTTCTTGAATGTCCAAATCTCACCACCCATACATGCAGGTTGAGGAGGCAAATCACGAACAAATGTAGAAAGCTGTGGAATCCAGCACAGATTGCCCAGCCAGCCAGCACATGTGGCCACCTCCTCATTAAATCATGT